AGTACGAGAACGCTTATGTAAGACTATAGCGAGTCCGCCCAGCTCTTGCTAGCCAATGATAAACCTAAGTTAGCCCATTTGAAAACGAAAAAAATTTTGTCGTCCTACTCTCAGCTTCCAAAAGCATTTACCTGTTTTTCGGTTAATCTCAAGTATAGTTGTGTTATATAAATCACAACATAAATCCTTAGTTATTTCGTTACGGTTGTTCCACCAGCTCGATTAAATTACTACGCGCATTTCAGAAGTAAGTATAGAACTATTTTTATGAATAGAATAAGCTTTTTAGAATAAATTATAAATTATTGTTTTAGGTACGAAAGTTCGCCGATATATACAATTCGTGTTGATAAATTCGCGGACTCTAATAGTGATGGAATCGGAGATCTGGCAGGTATTATCAGCAAGCTGAAGTACATTCAAGATGACATTTTCATCAAAGCCATCGCACTTGAAGGACTCCTAGATCGAAACAATCCTACTGAGATAAAACAAAACCTCGGCACTCTCGATGACTTCATCAAACTCGCATCGTATATAAAGGTAGCAGCTTGTTTATTTCACATTAACTATAGTATTACGGCTAATAGCGTTCTATCTTAAATTTCAGTTTTCCGTTAGTAAAATTTTCCAAATCTCTTACAATATTGCCACATTTTTTGGAAAATCCACACTGTTTTATCATAGGCTGCTGTTCTCCAACGTAGCGCATCGACGACACAGCTCTTTAACACAAAAGCCCTGTGTTCAAGAGATTTGTTCTATAGTTTATATAACGAAGATATTATCCACTTGCATCTATGACATTGCTTGACTTGAGCCATTGAGATACAAAAACACACAAGCGTCTACGAAATGTTTACAATTTTGTTTGTTTGATACGCAACAATCAGATGTGTAACTATGAGAGACACGAGCGGGCCAATGGAAGACGAGGGACATACAACAGTCTTGGAAAGTGCTGTTACAATAGTCGCAGAAGCAAATCGATCCGGCATAAGAAATATCTTCAATCTCAAGATTCAATGCCAATTCAACCGAATAAGGATTGAGCTATCGGGCGCCGGAAAGAAATTCCCAAAGCAACATAACCAATCATCGAAAAATAAATATCGTGCCTTATAATGGCATTGAATTGTATATTTTTTTAGTTTTTACAAGTAAGGTAGTTTTTACAAGTTGTAAGTTATTAGTAAGTAGCTGGGAAAAGCGTGTCCAAGTACAAATCACTACTAGCATTGGCGTGTTCGATCACTATATTGAAAACTGAGAAAAATCATTTTTTCTATAGATTAGCGTGATTTTGTTACTCGTATTGGCGTGTACCGGTCAGCGAAGTTAAAATCAACCAAACGAATTAGAACTTGTTGCCATCAAAGCCTTGTATATTTTCCAATAATGCTATTTCAGGTGATCATCAAGGTATCACTGGCTGAAGTTGTAAGTGGGTCGGGCAAGCCTCGAGATCTTAATACAGCTGTAAGTTACTGGCTCAAAGCAGGAGTTGCCGGATTTATTCTCCACGAGTTCAACCCCGATCTTGCCGCCCATCAGGATGGATTTTTACAGTGGCATAGCGTTATCGCCAATCACTCATACGCAAAGAAACAACGAGAGAACGCCGTTGTACTGTTAGCTCTTTCCACGCAAAATTTCGCAGACCTGTCTGACACGTACTGCAGGTGAAGACAATTTAACATTAATATAGACTCAAAATTAATTCTATTGCTTCTGTGTAAGCTGTTACAAATACGGTTCAGTTTAGGCATTTTATGAAGCAAATACTAGTATATAAATGATTATGGATGCTATATTCCATCCATATAAAAACTTTCGCTGAGAAAGTCCGCCTGCGTAAAGCATCCGTAGCTTCGTTTCATAGATTATCGAAGCAGTGAGCATGTCGAATCGCTTAGTTTAAAAGGCAAACAAAATATACTACATCTGTTATTAATTTATGTTGAAATGAAACTTAAAAGGCGCGACCAACCAAATCAGCTGACATCGGTTACGAATGGATAATTTTGGCAATTTCACACTGTAAAATGATTACGCCATTCCTCTGATCACCTATTGTTTTATGCTATTCTTCAGGTGTTAGTTGTTTTTCTTTTATGGGAGTCAGGCCAATTTGAAAATAGCTAGTTTTGCAAGCGTAGGCGAACTTTAGTGTTCTTCATCGGGTAAAATATAGCATTGTTGGCCTTTGATGACGGTGACCAATATGCGTAGAGGATAAATAGTAAATGCATAGAAAACCTATTTTAGGTTCTTGCTAATGTTTGCAGATAAGTAGCTCTATAAGATCTACGAGTACTTTTTTAATACTAACATTAATAATAAATTAGTGATTACTACTGGGCGTATTCTTGTGGTTTTTCGAATACATTTGGCAGAAATGCCCACATGGTACTCAACTATGAAATGATAAGGCTGACAGCAACGTTCGACAGCTCCGAGCTCAAACCATTACTTCACGAGTTGACTGAAAAAAATTACACTTCCTGTCGAAATAACTTCGTATTAGGCACTGGTGAAGTTATACCGCTGGTCGAACGCTTCAAACCGCGATCCCGTGCAGAAGCCATGCTAATTTTCAACATGCTGGCTGATGCTACCCCAATCGTTTACTATGGCGATGAGTTTGGCAAAAAAGATACCTGTGGAAAGCCAAAGTCAAGGGAACTCAAGCAGATGCTTGAACCAAACACCGGCAAAATGGACTGGGACTATCTTCAACCAATTCAACAAACCCTATTTAAGGTTTGTGTTATGTAATGTGTCATCTACGAGTTTATTCAGTTCAATTAACGTCAGCCTCTAAGTTACCTATCAGATAATTCTGGGAGCATAAACAAGAGAATAACGCAAAAAAAATTTCGTTTGTACAACTCTGTTTACAGCTTTTCCAACAGTTGGCAAAGCTTCGTTTCCAACAAACTTCGATTCGAAGAGGGGCTACGGTTGTTCGTAACTTTGATTCATCTGTTCTCGCAATGGCGCGCATTGGACAAGGCAACCCCGGGTTCCTCATAGTGTCCAACTTCCGCGCGCAAGCAACATCTGTTAATCTCCTCACTAGCATATCTGCGCAGATTCCACTTCAAGGCTCAGTAGTACTAACATCAACCAACTCGAAGCGAAGTAAAGGCTCGTGGCTGAACTTCGATGACCTTCAGTTGGAGGGTGAAGAAACTCTTGTGCTCCAGTTTGTACCTAAATAAATGGACAATATGGATGACCACTTAGTATCTGTCTTAATAATATTTTTTGCCGTGAAAGCTCATATTGTTAAACAGTCAATGTCCGTGTCATCGAAGTTTATCAACAGGAGAGATGCAAACACAAAACAAAAATCACTAAAAATGCATTAAGACGAACAGTTGAAAAAACAGTACTAGATATTTCAAAATATAGAAGCATACTTTTATAAGAAAGCAGTCGTAAACAATGCACGTAGTAATAAACTGTCCGCGATTGTAGCTTGTAAATAAGATTTGTTTGTGCGTGTGCTTAGCATTCGTTGTTGAAAGGACAGAAGATGGTAAAACGTTACTTTTTTGTAGCTTTGTAGGTTGTGAATGTATTTATTTGCAGTGTAGAGATCTGTCAAACGCGGAGGTCTATCTATCCTGTGTGTCTATACACTTGAGAAAAGTGTCCATGTAGATAGCCACAGGGTTCTCAATTAAACTATCCAAGCATTAAATAAGCTTTAGAAGGTGATGGCTTTTCTGCTTACTTTCATTGAACTTGATATACAAATCTGAGCTGCTAAGGAATTACTTGGCAGGTTGCGATGATACTTAAAACTTCACGCAAAAGATATGAAAACATAGATGTTCCAAGTGGACTAGAGTCCTGGAAAACAAGGCCATTTTCTTTAAATAAGCGATAGGTGGATTTAATCAGAGAGAGAGACGACTAAGAAAATGCAGAGGAAATCACAAAGAGTCACCGACTATATAATAGCGTAATAACATTCGCTTTTACACGAATTGTTATTTTAAAACACCAATAGCTCCAGTTAGTCATAATGTTGTCAAATTTAATTGTTAAAAAACATAGTTAGTTCCTATATATTATTAAACAGAGGCGCGCACAAAAAGGTCCGCTTACGGCATATTCCCTACTCAACTATATCTGATCTACAGGGCTGGCTGGAAGATCACAGTTCCAGATAATGATTTTTAACTTTAGCTTTAGATTAGCGCAATTGGTGTAATTTCTATGTGCTAATAAATGTTTATTCTTCGATGTTACAGATGCCTCTTTTAGATCGTGTTATGAGAAATGATTAAGTTCTATTGTTTTTAAGTTGGGAACCCACTAAACCGTTACTATGGTAACCAGTACCCAAATTACCATTTCAAGATCATAGTCCGAATTGCACTATTTGGAACCACTCTCAAGATTTTGTTGTGAGACCTAGCCAGGTAATCGAATACTAATGTTGAGCATGATAGGTGCACGTTGAGACGGATAAAGGAACATTGCCATTGTGAAAATGGGACGTGTACGTAACTGTGCGTCTTGCCTTCAGCAACACATTCTGGCCATTTTTCTCTGATAAACTTACCCAGAACAACTTCGCCGTCATCGGAGATTTCGTTGGATCAGGCTGACCGAAAGACAGAGTTTACTTTTAAATAGCATGGAACAAAGAAAAGGTTTTGATACCACCCGAGACTCTTATTTAGTCTTATTATATTAGATTCAACTTTTGCATTGCTGAGATGTCATCTGCAAATGGGCTGTTCTTCAGTGGGGGGTCGCTAGTAGGGGAAAATGAGGTCAAGGCTTCCCGAAGGTCAAAATAGAGCAAAAGTTTTCAAAGACTGGCATTACAATTGAGAAGACATTAACTGTACTTTTCCATTATTACAGACAGCTAGTAAAAGCGCACTTGCAAAGACGGCTGTAAATGTATTTAGAGTTCGGGTGCAGATAGTCCTGCAAAAAAATCTGCTTAGTTCTATGCATGTCATGGATGTCTTTCCCCCTGGTGATGCGTCTGTACGAAACTTCCTGTATGGTTTTGTACTCGATGATATCTGGCACTATTTGCAGATACAGGTTTTTATGTCTTAACACATTCCATATAACTGTGAGCTGTGACTTCTCTTGCAGTCCTAAAAACGTAAATTACGACAAAGGCCAGTTGCTTGCTATACGCCAATACTATACTTGAGTAATTTTACGATAAGATTTTTGTTATCTCTGTGGTTACGTTTGTAGATGCTAGTTTAAACGATGTACCTCAATTGTTGAAATACCCGCACTGAGCTATCAGACGCTTTTGTGTCTTTCGGACACTGACTGATCGATTCTGAGAGTTGCACTGACTGTGGTAGCTTCATGCATCTGTCGACACCCAGTTACTTTTGCATCAGTTTGATGATCGTATCTTTGTCTCTACATCACGGAAAGTCACTGATCTTTCTTACCAAAACCTTCAGAACAGCAGACATATCTTATACTTACAGGATGTGCCAATGCCACTAATTAAGTCAGGGGGCAATGTTAGCAATGAAGTCAACGATTAAACGTAGTTTTTTTTCATATATTATACTGATCATTTACAGATATTTCTTTATTCGTTCATCTAATAATAATAATTTAAAAGTTTAAGTTGAGTAACAGTTTGTATGTATGTGTATATACGCGGGAGAATGGTTCACACGTCTGTGACAATCGCCTGAGCATCTGTGAAGCTATTGGAGGTACAGCGTACTTTAAAACATATATAACTCTGGACGGACGCACTTTTCGGAATTGCCTTTAGTACCTGAAGCACTTTGAGTGCCATCAGAAGTTCAGAATCGATAGAGGTCGTATTATTTTAGAAGGTGCATTGTCCGCTTTATGGTACCCTTCTCTATGTTTCGATAACCAGGCTTCGACTATTTTCGTGCATTTCTATACAGGTTTACCCGGGAGGGAAAACGCTTGGATACGAACGGCATGTTTGGAACAAGTCATATTTACAAAATTCAGAAAACTTTTTGATACACGCAAAATACAGCAGGTGACGATTGATGATTCCATCGCTTTATTTAGAAGCTTAAAGACGCTACGATTCCTTTCTTTTCTAGTCGGGCAATTGACTATACTTCTATTAGTTTGTGCAATACATTTTGACTGGCCATAGCTGTAACTCCGTTCGTTTTCACGAGAGGGAGCCATCGCATCCGTGAAGTGAAATCAGGCAAAGTTCATGAAGCGTTGCATCCCTCTCTGGATAAGAAAGAGACACTTCAACGGGGAAAGCGCTGGCTGTTGAGAGAGGGAAAGCGGAATCATCATTAGCATCAATGCGTGATTCAATGCGTGAGGTCTACCCGAAGTACTGCGCGGTCACAGCTTCAGTCGGTCCGTGAATTGGATAACGGCAACTGGCACGTTGTGCTCGAAGTAAGGCAAGCGTAGCATTTTTGCCCGCATAAAGATACAGAAACAGTGCTGGTGCCTAATAGTGATCGGAATTGTGGTATGGAATTGAAATTGTGTCCAATGTGTGCCTGTGCGAATTAGTGTGCATATGTATATAACATATAAAAATACTCGTATATGTACCGAAAGGAACCAACAGGTCAAGCAAATCCTGTGAAATAAGGATACGATATTATTAGCGAGCGCTTTGGATTTAACATACTACAGATTCCAACAATAGATTAGCTTCAGGAGTCATTTGCTTTCTGGGAATTTTTCGTTATTCAACTAAAGGTATGCCTGCTGCCATACACTAAACTATATTTACTTTACTGGCGAAACTCGCATCCTTAAAGCTCACTCATAACGTGTGCCAGCCATACGTAAATGTCTTGTATACATCTTATTATACATGAAGCCTTATGCAGCCTACGGTTCCATAATGGAACCACGATGATTCCTTTGCTCAGCCAAAGTTTAACAAACTTAGCCTTTTTGACATAATCGGTTTATAACGGGATTTCACATTTGACTGGCCGGGTAAGTTTGGGCCCTGAGGAGAAAAACTGCTACAAAGATGTGATTATTAAGATTGCTAATAAGTGACTTTATTGAAGAGGTGCTGATTGTGCATATTTGATTGATACTCGTCCAGAAACACGGTTACTGTCATCAAAAGCTTCTTTATATTAAGCTGCTTGACTTAAGGATAGTTTTATTATTTTTCAGTCGTGACAACTAAGAGTTTAACCCGATATGCGCTTATTTAACTCCCACATCGACAAAAAAGTTGATCAGACGATCATTGATGGTATACACATTAAGCTAATGTATCACACGGTTGACTGGTGGCGGGTTTGTGGTATGGATGGGTTCCTGATTAAATTCATGGATTGGTAAAATGACGGCCGAAAATTTCGGCAGGCACTCAAAACAGTATCGACGTCATTTGCTTAACTACTGACGTCATAGCGTTTACGTTCAATCACCTGCGTCGTTCGCATTTTAATATTAGAGTGAAACAAGTCGAGAGTGCAAGAACCCGTTGAACAGGGTTTCTCGAAAATGGCACTACAATAGGAATGACGAGTCGATGGATCGGACCCTGTCCTGTCAATTATGCGAGTAGCGATAATCGTATTGCTTCTTCAGCTGCTCCAGGACACCTCCGGTTCGGTGGCGTGCTAATGCGTTCCTGTCAGTGTATCGGTGTCTGCAGTGGAGGGGTTCTCATACGTCAACCAGATGATTGGCATTAAGATTGCGGAACAGTGGCCATCGCTTTCATCGTCGTTGTTGGTTCCCAGCTAAGAGTTCAACGTTAATAAAGCAACGGCCATTACCCAAACGCCATGCCAACGGCAGCACTGTACAGGTCGCCAAGAGCAGCAGCTTTAAAGCGAAGAGCAGAAGCTGTGGTTCCCTTGAGTACTATGAATGCTAACAATTACCACGACTCGGTCACTCGGCTTCTACTTCGCTGCCGCTATTCTTCATTTCAATATGTTTGTTATTGTTGAACGTTCTCTTTCTCAGCTGATGTCGTCGCTTGCTTTATCTCTTACTTACTCGTTGTTCCCATGAAGATCACCGGCGAAACAACAGCTTGGGACACATTTGGCCCATAGCTAGCTCGGTGTCACGCACCTGCTCGTAGATTTCCGTTGAATACGACAGCGTCGTGTATAATAAATGTGTATACAAATGGGCGATCACAGAACACACTGACAATACGCAGCGGATATGGGTCTGTCTGTCTGTCTCTTGTGTGTTACTTATCGTACAATAGAATCAAAGAACGTCCCGGGGGCAGGGTTGATTGGGCCTCTTTAAAATAAAACGGGACAACTTGAGAAAAAGCATCGTTTCGTTCACATGAGGCCCAACATCGATTCTGCCCAGAAGACTGGGCAGACAGGCCACGTATTGCCTGTCCGAGCGGTGCACAACCCTATCATTGATACTGAGGTTGATATATGTATATATAGCACGCAACTCCCTATCATTCCAGATGCATTTGTAGTTCGTGTGCATTCATTTCTCGGCGTACGGATTACATATACATACGCTTATTGTTTCCAAATCTTTTTTGTATCACAGGTACAACGCGTTTACGTCCAATGATACACTGTTGTACGTTATTGTACTGTGATAGTATCGTACTCTACTAATTAAGAGTGCCTTCTTCGGTTAGTCGCCGCTTCATCACACCAAATGTTATACATATATGCATGCATTATAAATATAATGTAAAATTTGAAAAAGACCAACACTGATCTCAGTAATTAACGCATCAGTGGTATACTAGGCATCTCTGTATGATAATGGCATATGTTGCAATCGCACATATTTTCTTTTTTTAAATTGGGCCTTCCTTATTCAGACATATATTTATCGAGAAGGGCAACACCAGGAGTTTACTTTATGCGGGCTCTACTACGTCGCATCATGTTGTCCTATTGAGGGCACGTTTTTTTCTCCGCGTTCCTTTGAGCTTTTAAGTGTTCTACGAGAAAGACAGTGTCTCACGCTACTTGCTCCCCATGACTTACGAACACAATATCTACATGTCTTGCATCTAAATAGAAATAAATTGGTTGTTTATGTTTTTTTCGAATCGAACGTTTGAATTGTTGGTTTAATACTTGGGTAAAAAGTGAATAAGCCTACTGAGAAGAACGACGTTAATATATTAACTACAATACGGATCGTTTAAATATTGTATACGAATCAGCGGGGTAAAACTGCGCACCCCAATGCATGTTGACTTCTTAATGTGGCAAAAGTTTAGAGCTAAATCTGGCGTAAATGGCCGAGACAACGACATCTATGAACAGCGCTATCTAATCATGTAGGTCCAAAGTACTATAATATACATAATAATAATAAAAGTGGTACATATTCTGTATGTAAAAAAAATTAGCTCCGCTATATCACACTTCACTTAGTCCAGTATGCGATTATCCATCGGCTTTCACCAATAACTTGGAGAATATGTATTCGAAATAGCTAGCAAACAAGTCACAATGGTCTGAACTAACTACGGTTAAAGGTGGTCCCTGTGGAACCTCAGGAAGGTTAGTTAACCACAGCGAATTTGCATAGCTGAAGATCGCATGTTCTTATTAATCTAGTGAAATCTATCGGAGTACTCCTTGGCCCTTTCTGTCTTCTTCACATGTAACGCATGTCTAGTACAAATTGTTTAAACAAAAATGGAAAGAGCCTTTTCGATTGATCAATTGTTCTGAGCGAAGCACGACCGTTGAAGACGCGAACAAAGGTCTGGCCTATTGAGACGAAGCGTCAGGACACCCGTATAAGAAAACAATTGAGATTTGCTGATTGTTTGAGACTAAGTACAGATTTAATTATGACTATCTAGACTATTCACTGAATAATCGCTTGGTACTGTAATTGTTAGGTTTGCAGTGGACCCCTTACATAAGAATATGCAAGCATAACATCGTGTTATGTGTGTGAAAATCGACGTATGTATTTCGAAGTGTCTTCATCATCTGCCCATGGTTATTATCCTGGCCCCCCGCGTCGCCCTTTTCTACCTCCAATGCCTTCTTCAACAAAAGCATAAGATCAAGCGATAGTGCTAACATGTATATTTCTAGTGGCATTAAGCTAACGATGATGACTAATCATTCTCATTGAATCAAGCGTCAGCCTACAGAGAACCCGACGGCCGTCTAGTCTCACGTTTGTAGGCGCCCCCGTTCTGTAGCTGTTGTGAGCCTCACAATTCGCTACATCAGCACCCGCAATATACGTTTAATTGCATACTGAACTATACCATGTGCATAATTACTAGCTTCATGCAATGTCTTACATCGTGCTCGAAAAGCTTTGTAGTTCGGTACTATTATCCGATATTTACTTTTTTACCCCACTATTGTCGCTTTAGTTCAAATCTAGAATATCAGTAATATAACAGTATACGAATGATTTACTTTATTCTCTTTCGTTATCCCGCGACAACAAAGCTACGACCGCTGTCTTCTATTGTCTGCGTCCTGCACTGGTAAAGGCTAAAAAACGCTTGAAGTTATATCGTACGTCAAATGGCCTCACAACAGAATTATCGACGGGCGTTTTACAATCGTCGTATAACTGTAGAACAGGCAGACTGATGTTTAATCGTGACTATGTGCGTACGTACGTTCGCGTCTTCGTACTACTTATGCCTTAATAATGGTGACATAATTTTATGTTAACACATAGGCCCTTTTTCTGACTCTGTAGTTATTGTTAGCAATAATTATGTACGGAAAAAAGTAAATTCGTCGCTCCACGTCGGGTGCCTATACGATTTATTACTAGTCGTACGACTAAATGCTGCGCCGGGTAGCAACGACCGTTGACCAAATGATTGGTTCTATACATCAACTGCTACTCTAGGCATGCTAATACATATTCTATCAGCATAGCGGTTATTATTACAATATTTCAGCGTTACTTAGTGAAGTAAAACTATTGGACCTCATAGAGGGCAAAGTATAAAGAGGTCAGAATCTTGAACGGTACATGCATCTAATAGGCGTATGATAAGGTTAACGTGCAACTGCGTTCGGCTTGATTTATTTACACGTGATAGTCGTCTGACACGGTTAGAGCGGGACAGAAGACCCCCTCTGCAGCGTGTCGTCTACGACAAATGTGTCAACGATGTTAACTGTATAATATGATAACTAAGTAGTAAAGGAAAAAACCAAAACACTTACTGAGGCTTTAAAATACCTTTATTTATGTTGTGTATGCGTCTTGTAAATGTAACCTATTGCTATGTGTATCGTAGATTTGTACGATGGAGTCATTATGCTTCACTGGAATTTATCTATTACTTATGGCAACAATAAACACACATTGCTAAATAGAACTTAACCATTTACAGAAATTCATCAGGAAAAAATGTTTCATCACAGATAGATTTTTTTCATCGAGACAGCCTAGCGAGTATTATTAAAAAACATGTTTTTACTTTGCTTTGTTTCGTATTGCTCCTAACAGCTTCTATTTACAGTACCGTACACAACATTCCGCCTTTGCGTATTAAATTCGACCGATTCACTATGGACGGTATAATCAAATACAATGCTGAGAATATAAAATAGCAAACAACTTTCTTCGCATTTCCCATGAAAACATATTTGCCGCTATTACGTTTCGTTCTTTATTTAGTTACATGGATGTAGGCCAAAACAAATGTTGGCCAAGCACAGGGGTCAGCAATTACTGATGATCGAGTCGGAGTTCGTGTGGCTATCCCAAAAAAGCTACAATTT